GAACTAAATAGAATAGTAGAATTACAGTTAAATACCAGTAGCCCTTCGTTAATATACTTCAATGATGTTAAGCTTCAAGTTAATTATATGTTAAATATCACATTGAACAAATATTCAGAAATTGTACCAATTAATAGACAGAAAAGAGGACTCATTAATCCTTTGGGATCTCTAGTTAAAATGATAACAGGAAATTTGGATTACGATGATGCTATTAAATATGACAACTTAATAAAAAATGTAAAATCTCGTGAACATTCTCTGGAAAAGAAAACTACTGTTATATCCGAAATGATAAGACTTGTTGCAAACTCTACTATAAATATTACAAACAATCTCGAACAATTAAGTGATGCAATTAATAAAATTAATAAAAATATTAAAGACATTTCAATTATTTCACATGTTAACCAAATAACACATATCTATAATTCCTTCTTACATAATTTTCAAATAATTTACACAAAATTGACCGAGATTGAAAACATTTTAGCATTCAGTAGAATGGGCGTATTACATCAATCTATAATTAATACTAATGAACTCATTAATGTACTTAGAATCGTAGAGAAAACAGATAAGCTGATATTTAAAGTAATTCCTGAAAATATTGTAAGAATTGAACAGTCCATGACATTGAAATCGTATTTTAAGAACAATGTTATTACTTTAGTATTAGAAATACCCTTAGTTAAGAAAGAAACTTATTTTTATTATAAAATTGTACCCTTACCTATCACCCAACCTGAAACAAACCTTACCTTAATATTATTACCCAAGTATCCTTACCTTATTGCGAAGGGGTTGAAAGCGAAATCGCTGTCGACACCATGTAAGAATATAGAAGAAGAAATATACCTCTGTGATGAGCTGCAGACCATGGTACCGGTTGAAGACACTTGTATCCTGGACCTGATGAAATATTCTCACAACGTCTCTTGCAAACAAATTCCAATAGAATTCGAAGAAATTAAAGTAGAACTTTTACAGATTAACCGATGGATAATCTACTCTAAATCACCTGTTGATCTGGTTAGAACCTGTGATAATGAAATTTTACATTACACTCTCATAAATACTTACTTATTAACCATAGAAGATAAATGCCAATATAACATTGCAAATCACAATTTAAGAATACATAGCAGTAACGGTGAGAAGCTTATATCTCAAAAGCTGCCGCTAGTAAATTTACCTGAAAATTTGAAGATCAGTATCCAGAGCAACATTAATCCTGTTAAGCTGAATGGGGTTGATTTAACCAATTTAAAAGTATTATCATACGCCCTACAAAACAGTGAAAATCAAAGTGATAGTGTAGTGAAAACCAATAGTGTCAGTTTAGGGACAATAATTCTATATGTAATTTTAATTTTAAGTCTTATATCCTTTCTGGCATACAAAAAGATAAAAACATGTATAATATTTCAAGGCCGAAACCATCCTCCGAAAAATTGTTCTTCAGATGATTTCGAGCTTAAGGAGGGAAAAGTTACAATGTCACACAGATACCCAAAACGCACTATAAGCGTTAATGCAATCAATGCTTAGTCTTATTATTCCATTGTGTACCACGAATCAAAGTTATCATGTAAGGGGTTTTAGCTGTAAGATTATAATTATATTAAAGGTAGTCTAATATCGGCCACCATAGTGATAGGGTCTTGCATCGACCACCTTAGGATTAGGGTCTAACATCGACCACTTTAGAATAAAGGTCATAGCTCATTAGAGCCACCCGGCACCCGACCAGCGCCGCCTCGTCGTTAGGTGTCAACTCGTTGTCCACGGGTGAACGACGCGTTGTTACTTGTGAACGTCGCGAGATCAACCAATGAACCTCGCGTGGCCAACGAGTGAACGTCGAGTGGTCAACGAGTGGACATCGCTTGGGCCACGAATTTTCGAGTAGTCTGTTAGCATTGCCACTAGGTCTACACGTGTTTTTCGTAATGTCAAATTTTACAAACTGTGAATTGGCACTCATAGCTGTCGCGCTTATTGAAGAAGAAAATGAAAGACGCAACAGACGCGTCGTCCTCGCGTGGTACATTCGCCGGCAGCGCGCGGTCCATGCAAGGCTAGCGTACGATCAGCGAGTCGTCACCGAGTGGTACACCCGCCGTCCGCGCGTGGCCAGATTGCGAGCGAAGCGATCCGGTGTCGACACGGCGTTGATGTAATGAGCGCTTATTCATAGAAGTCCATACAAAGAATACTAACCTCTCGAGGCGAGGCGGCGCTGGTCGGGTGCCGGGTGGCTCTAATGAGCTATGACCTTAAGAGTCTCATATCGACTATAAGTTAAGAATACTAAGTGTAATTTACTTAATAAAGTTTTCCTTTTAAAAAAACCTTTGAATACCGTCGCGATTTGACTAAATAGTGTTTTATTTGTTTAATGTAAGAGAATAATAATAAATATTTATTTAATTAATTTTTCAAATGTAAACTGAACTTTATTGACTTTAATGACTCCTTTTCCAGTCTTTGATTATTTAATTGTAATTAATTATTTGCATGCAATCAAAAACTATTTTTAATAATGCCAAAGAAGTATAACATCTTACGCGCGTACATAAGTACACGCACCCTTTTTTTTTTTTTTTAAATTTATAAATAGAGTCCTTTTCATGAAAGAAGTCCCGCGGAGATTTTTGGAACTAAACTTTACAGGTCGGCCATGTTGTCGTTCGTCGATGTTATCAAGTTCGTTTGTTATGGTAGATTTTTATGAGTTTTTAACTAGGTTAGTGCATTTTAAGGATTGTTTACTGTTGAAATGTATAACAAAATATCATATATCTACTAGCGCCATCTGCTAGACTATGTGCTAATATTATTTACAATAAAGTAGTCAGTTGTTACCCGACCTCTGTGCGTATCATTTACAGGTTATGGGCCATCACGTGAATTAAATAAAAAAATTTTTTTGGTGAAAATATAGTGCAAAAATGCCGACAAACCTTATTGCTAGTATTGCAAAGTTAAGGGGCAGAGAAAATTAAGAAGATTGGGCGTTTGCTGTGGAAAACTATCTCGTATTGGAAGGCGTGCAACAGTGTATCACGACCGGAGATGATCCGAATGACGCGAAAGCGAAAGCAAAAATAGTGTTAACTACAGATCCAAGTTTATTCGTGCATATAAAAAGTGAATCAACTGCAATGGGACTATGGCAGAAGCTAAAAAAGCTATTTGATGATAATGGCTTCACGCGACACATCGGACTACTTCGTAACCTCATATCAATTCGTCGTGAAAATAGTGATTCTATGGCACAATATGTGACTTCATTGTTAGAACAAGCCAGCGATTGAATAACACAGGATTCAAAATTAGTGACGAGTGGATCGGGTCTTTGTTGTTAGCAGGATTACCAGAAAAATTTTAACCAATGATAATGGCGGTGGAGCATTCAGGTATTGAGTTAACAGCCGATGTCATTAAGTCAAAATTATTGGATATGGAAGATGGTACGAGTTCTACACAGAATGCGTTTGCGTCGAAATGTTGGCAACAAAAAGAAAACAAACGCATAGACAATCGGAATCACGTAATGTAGGCAAGTCATATGTCAATGTCAAATGTTTTAAATGTAAACTATTCGGACATTTCATGAATAAATGCAAATTAAACACTAATAACAAGGAATCTAATGCATTTAGTGCAATATTTCTCAGCGGTAATTTTAATCAATTGGATTGGTACATCGATAGTGGCGCCAGTTGTCATTTAACGTCAAACAAAGATTGGTTGTTGAACGTAAAAAAACAACACCAAGTGAGAGACATTGGGCGTGTTCGGCCGAAGTAAGTACTTACTAAACTAAGTAAGCCAGTAAGCATAAAAAAATTAAAGTCTTACAAGCTGACTGTAGCGCTTTTCGGCCAGGACAGACTTACTGGCTTATTAACATAACACAAAACACCGGTTTATGTCATATCCCGTACATAACCTCATAGACTGAATATAATTGACAGTACTAAATTTAGGAATATAATTTAATACCTGTGAATAGTTTCAAATGGATAATTTTATGAGAAATATTTTATTGGATATTTTATTGTCCGTTTTGTTTACATCAACAATAAGCAAAATGGCGTCGTATATTAAGCCATACTTACTGCGTTAGCACTTATTTTGTGTCCCGGCCGAAAATTTTGTAAGCATAGTAAGTGACTTACTAAATTTAATAAGTACTTACTTCGGCCGAACACGCCCATTATTATCGCTGATAAGACAAAAATTCCTGTTGGAGGCTGTGGTGATATCCAAATAACGACTCTTGTTTGAAAAATTGATAATGATAATAATGACAGGTATAGAGCCAGGCTAGTTGCTAAGGGCTTCACCCAAAAGCCAGGCATTGATTTTGATAAATGTTTTTCACCCGTAGTTAGACATTCTAGTTTGAGATTGTTATTTGCTTTAGCAGTTCAGCTTCAGTTGGATATTTCTCACTTGGATGTACCTAGATACTGCATTTTTAAATGGTTTCCTTAATGAAAATGTGTATATGATGAAACCTCCATGTTTTCATGTTAGTCATGATAATGTGAACAAGGTTTTGCGTTTAAAACATGCTATTTATGGCTTAAAACAGTCATCAAGGGCATGGTATAAAAGAGTTGATGATTTGTTGCAATCCTTAGGTTTAAAAAAAAGTAAACTAGAACCATGTTTGTTTATAAAAATGTAAAAGTTATTATTGCATTGTATGTTGACGATTTCTTCGTATTTTCAAATAATCAAAAGGAAACAGATTTGTTAAAAGAAAGTTTGTCATCTAAGTTCAAAATTAAAGATTTGGGATGTATTAAAAATTGTTTAGGTATGGATGTAGCAATGGATAAAGAGAATGGTACTATAACTTTAAGTCAAGAAATATATTGTATATTGATGAAATACTGTTAAAGTTTAATATTTCTGATTGTAAGTTTGCAGATACGCCTATTGAACCTAAATTGAATTTAACTAAAAGTGAAAATTGTGATAAAATGTTACCTTATCAGAAACTAATTGGTTCGCTTATGTATATAGCTGTGCTCACACGTCCTGATATTGTATTTTCTGTAAATTTCCTAAGCCAATTTAACAATTGTTACACAAAAGAACATTGGGCCTATGCAAAGAGGTTTTTAGCTAGTGGTAATAATCAGTTAGAAGCTTTTGTAGATGTAGATTGGGCAAGTAATGTAATTGATAGGAGATCTTATACAGGATATTTCTTTAGGCTGTTGAATTGTGCAATATCTTGGGAAACTAAGAAGCAGGTTACCGTAGCATTGTCAAGTACGGAGGCTGAATATATGGGTATTTCTGAATGTTGTCAAGAGGCTGTGTATTTGCGAAATTTGTTATTTGAATTAAATGGAGTAACTTATCCTATACCAATATATTTTAATGATAATCAGTTAGCCCATAAGTTGTCAGCAAATCCTGTCCACCATAAAAGGTCAAAACATATAGATGTGCGGTAACATTTTTGTAGAGAAAAAGTTGCTAATGAAATTGTAAAAATTAAATACTTGTCGACTTCAGAGATGCCTGCAGATCTACTTACTAAGGGTTTATGTAAAATGAAACATTATAATTTTTTAGGAATGTTTGGTTTATTTGATAAAAATAATATGTAGTGGATATATGTATTGTTGTGTGTTTGCATCTTTTATTTTGTTAAGTGGGGATGTTGAAATGTATAACAAAATATCATATATCTACTAGCGCCGTGCTAATATTATTAGGTTTAAAGACATTTATTTTCTCATTACAGACAATGGTCACTTACATGAGACTTATAGACTAAAAATACAATTTATCACGTCGTGTTTAAGCGTCAAGGATCAATCATCGAAGTATAATTTGGGTGGACTGTCATTTGCGTAGGTAATTAGGATCACTCAGAAGATGGTCTTTTAGTTTAAGTTTAAATATCGCCAGGCTGTCTGCACTTTTTATATTTTGTGGTAGTCTATTGTAACGCAACACTCCCCCAACGCTCAATGTTTTTCTACCGTTATTAGTTCTAAACTTCGGTATAACAAGATTGTGAGGGCGTCGTGAAGTGCGCTTCTGAATTTGGCTTATTTTAGTAAAGGTAATGTTAGTATGTATGTGGTCGTTTAGAATTTTGTATATTAGTAAGCTGGTGTTATATTGGAATAATTGTTTAATATTCATGAGTTTTGTTTCACTGTAAATTTTTTGTGTAGAAGTTAAGTATGGGTAATGAAAAAGCAATTTAATTACTTTATTTTGAGCAATTTGAAGGTGAGAAATATTAGTTTTAGTCGCGGCTCCCCAAATTTCAATAAGGTAAAGAAGGTGTGATTTTGCCAAAGAATTATAAATATGAAGACGAACTTCACGAGGAAGGCTTCGAACTATGTGTCTAAGGGAACCTCTTAAAGAAGATAATTTAGTTATTAAATGATTTATGTGCGTTGTCCATGTTAAGTTATTGTCAATATATAATCCAAGATATTTTTCACTTTTCTTTTCAATTAGTGGTACATTATTTATTGTTATAGGCGAATGTGGTGGGATTTTAACATTTTTAGGTTTAAAATTTAAGTACGATGTTTTAGCAGTGTTGATAGTTAGCAACTTCGATTATAACCACAAGTAAAGATAGTCAAGGTCCTTTTGCACTCGAGAAATTATATCATGCACAGATGAACCAGTGTATAGGAGACAGGTATCATCCGCATACAAGGTTATCTGTCCATGCAAGTTAAGGTGTTGTATGTCATTTAAATAAATTAAAAACAATAATGGGCCCAATATTGATCCCTGTGGTACTCCACAAGAGATAGGTAAGAGTTTACTTTGACAATCATTAATTTTAACTACTTGGGATCTATTGTTTAAATATGATTTGAACATTTTTAAGGCATTGCCAGTTATTCCAATCGTTTCCAGCTTTTCTACGAGAAGCGAGTGGCAAACTGTGTCGAAAGCTTTCATTATATCAATGAATACTACAAGGACAATTTTCCTTTGGTCGGTATTAGTTTTAATTTTTGTAATGAGATTAATTGTAGCTGATAATGTATTAGATTTTGATCTAAATCCATATTGGTGTTCGTATAAAAAGTTTATATTATTTAGGTGGTCTAATAAGCGCGTGTATAAAACTCTTTCTAATATCTTGGACATAACCGGCAATACCGAGATGGGTCTGTAGTTACCCGGATCATCTCTGGGCCCAGATTTGTATATTGGACTGACCTTGGCGATCTTTAAGTTATCAGGGAACTTGCCGTCCCTGAGTAATTCGTTAAGACAGGACGTTAAGTTATCAAGAATCTGACTTTTAATACATTTAATGATTTTGGTTGTGATGCCATCTATACCTGAACTACAGTTTGGGTCAAGATTGTTAATAATTTGGGAAATTTCCTGAGCTGTACACGGTCTAAGAATATTTAAAATAATTTGTATGTTGTTATTTGGTACGGTTAGATTGAAATTGTTTTGTTTATTACGTAGATGATTAGTGAGATTTAACCCAATAGTAGAAAAGAAATTATTAAAAGACTCACAAATGAGAATGGGATCAGTTATTATATATGAATTAACATTCAGCTTTGTGGGAGCAATGGTATCTTTCTTTTTGTTAGCGGCAAGTTCTTTCAATAGACTCCACATTTTCTTTGGATTTGTGCATTTTAGAAATTGGCTGTAATAATAACTATCCTTAGTTTTCTTAATAACTTTAGTTACAGACTCTTTTATTTTATGGAATTCATTTTCTATACGAGAATTGTCTCTGTTATTTTTGTATTTCTTCCACAGGTCATTCCTATCATTTATAATATTAATTATTTCCTTATTAATCCAGTCATTTCGTGGAGCATTTAAAATTTTTGTCTTTGTTATTTTGTTGTTTTTAACGTTTTGCTTTATTAAGTCATCAAGAACTGTGTATTCAAAACCTGGATTCTTAATGTTGACATCTGCTATACTTTTGAATAGATTTTCATAATTTATAGCGTCATATTGAATTCGCTGCTTCGGAGTTGGTTTAATTTTTTTTAATTGCAAATAAATCTGTTTGTGGTCAGCCATAGGTAAATCCAATATTGATAAGTGAAAGTTGTCATTTAGTAAATCTGTACTGACATGATCAATTATTGTCTTTGATGTATGGGTTTCTCTAGTACAATACATCGGGTCAATTTTATTCAATAGCTTGTGACCTTGTCCCTGAAGCAGATTCTTGTATAAAGTGGTATTTCTGTTTCTAGTAAGTAAGTCTATATTAAAATCACCAAAAACGATGATACGGTTTCGTTTCTGTAACTGTGCTTCATATGTATCTATAAATTTTTTATAATTAGTATTACCAGGGTTATATATAAGTCCAATTTCAATTATTTACAATAGAGTAGTCAGTTGTTACCCGACCTCTGTGCGTATCATTTACATTTACAATGCCAAGAGTTGTAAACAGTTCGGCTCGAGAAATGATATGAAGCGGAACAAAATAATCAAGGTGTTTTAATACCACTAAACAATGTTCGGAAGAGAGTAGCCACCATAACAGGTACTTTTTAGAGTTGCCACATAATAATTTTTTGCTGTATTGATGGGACTTTTATGATATAAATTCTTTTTTGCGACACAATCGAACAAATACATAACGAATGAAACTAGGTAACTGAAATTAAAACATATATTAAATAGTTCATAAGCATTATAAGGAAAGGAAAAAGGGTAAAGGAAAATTCCGGTTCCGGTTGTCAAACAGTGTCCAAACGTAATATGTACATAAATATTATATTTAGTTGTGAAATTCACCAACGGATGGCGCTGTGCGTTTTCTGCATTGTGCTGAATCGCGCTATCGTATTATGTGGTTTGTAGTATAAGGCTTAACATGTTTTTTGATTAAATTGTCTTCGTCCTGGAATCGTGGAGTTTTGTTCAAACAGTTAACACGTCGTAAAAACACTCTCAGTTGTAAAATTGAAATCTAAGTGTGTCATTCGATACTCAACAATATAAGTTATAATAGTGAGCATTACCTCTTGTGTAAACAGCGATTTAGTGCGGGTTTTGTGAACATTAAGTTTTTGTGAACATAAAAAGTGATACATCATTATTTCGCAATTTGACAGCAACAACAACAAAAAGTGTTGCCAGCTTGAAATTTTAAATACCCCAGAAGAAACATTTTCCCATTGCAAGTTACCTGTAAAAATGGATTCCCAACTGAAAATTATATTAGAAAAAATGGAGGAAATGAAACTAGACTTCAAAAAACAAACACAGGAACTAGCTGAAAATTTTAACAAAAGTCTTTTGCAAACAATAGACAAAAAATTAAGCCCACTTGTTGAGGATAACAAAAAGCTGAAACAAGATCTCCAAGCTTCCCATGCACGTATACAAAATCTTGAGAGAGAAGTGAGAAAAGATAACATAATATTACACGGGATGGCAGAAAATGAACATAGTACAAGTGAGCTCTGGAAAAATGTTTTAGAAGTGCTGAATGAAACCAGTTTAGATCTGATGGGATGCGGGAGTGGGATCAATGGGAGATCAGCAACATGAGAAGGCTAGGCAAGAAAATGAATGACAAAAAAAGACCGATACTTATAACCCTTGCTTTAAATTGGCGGAAATATGATCTTCTAAAAAATAATAAAAATTTCCCGACAAATATATATGTAACCGAAGATTACCCGAAAGAAATTATCCAAATAAGAAAGGAACTGAGACAACGGAAAGAACAAGAAGAAAAAAACGGAAAAATTGCTTTTATTCGGTATAACAAACTCATTGTTAAGGGAAAAGCACCTTTAGAAACAAAGAGAAAACGGTCCCCAACTGAATCACCATCAGCCACTGACAATCAAAGTTTGGTAGAAACAATAAGAGCACCCAAAAAAATAAACAAAATAGATCAACAATACACAACACTAATACAATACCAACTGGAAAACAAAAGGAACCAACTGACAATAACACACTCTTCGAAAACAATTATCTCCCCAACCCGGCTGGTCACCGTGGGGTAAGAGACCACTACCCTCCAAATGAAGATAAAATCGATGAATCCAATCGCCAACATAGTAGAGATAACCAAAACTGCAACATTTTAAAGATCTGTACTTATAACGTAAGATCACTAGCATCACCTACACGCCTTCTGGAACTGACACAAGCCCTTTTAAAAGTAAACTATGATATTTTAGGACTAGCAGAAGTAAGAAAAATTGGATGCGAGATAGAAGAACACGATAATTATATCTTCTGCTTTAAAGGCGAAACAAAAGGCCTCAATGGAGTAGGCTTTTTAACCCTTTCAGAACCTGCGTGCACAATTGAGGACATAACGTTTTATTCGTATAATGTAGGCAAAAACAATTTTTTCTCGTTTTTGAACCAGTGTTATCATTTGAGGACAAACCAAATTACAATGAAAACACAAGTCGCGCCATCTTTGATGCGTAGAAGTGACTAAAAAGTG